TCGTTAGATCTAATAGAAAGTTATTTAAATAATAGACAGCAATGTGTGCAAATTGATAGTACTCTGAGTAGTAAAAAGACTATACGCTATGGAGTTCCGCAGGGAACTGTCTTAGGACCAATTCTATTTATACTGTATCTCAATGAAATGTTCAACTTACCCATCTCTGGTGAAATCACTAGTTTTGCTGACGACACGGTTGTCTTCTTTAAAGATCAAGACTGGATCTCCCTAAAAGAAAAAATACAAAATCCTCTACCAATTTTACTTGATTATTATAATAGTAAACTCCTAACAGTCAACGTAGAAAAAACAGTATACTTACCACTCACCAGCTATGAACCGAACTTACCAGATTTCAATCACATTGAAATAAAAAATGGAAACCAAAACATGCGGCTCATGGGAAGCATAACGGTTAAATATCTTGGCATCATACTGGGATGCACATATTAGCAATCTGGTTAAGAAATTGTGGTTCTACTTGAGTAAGTTCAAGTATTTGAAAACCTTCTTTGACATTTACCATCTTCGTATAATGTATTATGCTCTTGTTCAAACGCATATCTTTTATGGAATTATTGCTTGGGGCGGAGTAACGAACAATTATTTGAAACAACTCGAAACACTTCAGAAATGGATCATAAAAATTATACTTGGTAAAAAGCGTGACTATCCTATCGATGATCTATATAGGGAATCTGGATTTCTTGATATACGACAAGCATTTTTTTTCACGCTTTTGGTATATCAACGTAAATATATTTCAACGAGCAAACGAGTAACTCACGTTTACAACACCCGATATAAAGAAAAAACACTGGAAGTGCCTAAAATGCTCAAGACTATTGGCCAGAGATGTTTTCTATTTCTTGCTCATAGACTTTATAATACAATCTCAATTGAAATGAGAAGTCTCAACTCACTCTAATTATTCAAATCGAAGTTAAAGAAATGGATTAATAGAAAATCTAGAAAGGATATACATTATATGATAGACCTCAAAAATTTCTGAGGAAAGTGAATAAAAAAAAAATAAAATCATAATCATAATGAAAGGAACAATTTCTATAAATATATATATATACATATAAATCTTTGTTCATTACCTACATTGATTTTGTTCCTTGTTGTGGTCAATTATCATTACTGTAAATGTTATTATTATCTATTATAATTGTTATCGTAAATATTTTCATGTGTTTATATGTGTATTTATATATACAGTGTGACCCATTTAAGATGGAAGCACCCTTATAAAACTTAAATTTTTCAACCGATTGGAATGATTTTTTTTTGTTAGGTAGATATTCAAAAAGTCTATTAGGACACCAAATATCATGAATAAATCTCCATTTCCAGGGCCAACTAATCTGATTTTTCAAGGTCAAAAATCTAAAAAAATTACTAGCGATTTTTTTAGAAAAAATCTGACTACACCACTGGATTTGTGACATTTTCAAATGGGTAACATGTAAATTACGTTGAAATGCGTCAATCAATAAAAAAGTTATAAAGGAATGAAATTTGAAAAATATGCCGTTTAATCAACCATCAATTTTTATTACTGAACAGATTTCGATGAAACTGTGATCAGTAATATTTCAAGACATCCTGAATCCAGTGGAGTATACAGAATTTTCATAAAATTCCTGAACATGAATTGGTGGGTTGATTAAACGGCATATTTTTCAAATTTCATTCCTTTATAACTTTTTTATTGATTGACGCATTTCAACGTAATTTACATGTTACCCATTTGAAAATGTCACAAATCCAGTGGTGTAGTCAGATTTTTTCTAAAAAAATCGTTAGTAATTTTTTTAGATTTTTGACCTTGAAAAATCAGATTAGTTGGCCCTGGAAATGGAGATTTATTCATGATATTTGGTGTCCTAATAGACTTTTTGAATATCTACCTAACAAAAAAAAATCATTCCAATCGGTTGAAAAATGTAGGTTTTATAAGGGTGCTTCCATCTTAAATGGGTCACACTGTATATTAGTATTATGTTATTATGTTATCATGTTAATGCTTTATGGTTATTATTAATTATCTAATATCCACTTCTCGGAGAGCGATTGGTAACACATGGGGACTGAAACCACGCATGGTACATTGGCTGTATACTGCTGTGGTGAGACCAATGATTGTATATGGATCGCTTGTCTGGTGGCCTAAGACTGAACAGAGATCAGCTATAATGGAGCTTTCAAAACTCCAGAGATTAGCTTGTCTCTGCATCACAGGTGCTATGCGCAGCACTCCTACCGCTGCTATGGAAACCATACTCAATATTCCACCTCTTGAAATCTTCATCAGGGCGGAAGCGAGGATGGGGGCATACAGACTGGAGTGTACCGGCAACTGGTATGCTCGGGGTGACTCCCTGGGACATACAAAAATAATCAGCCAAGTTTCAAGCCCACTAATGGATATGGGAAGGGACAAAATGCTGCCTAGAAATAACTATTACAGACCCTTCAACACTCAGCTCTACTGGGATGAAAGGGTCTTGACTAACTGTCAGGAAGGCACGTTAGTATGGTACACTGACGGTTCTAAGACTGATGAGGGCACGGGAGCCGGAATATATGGAGATAGACCCAGAACCAGGATGTGTGCTTCCTTGGGGAGGTATGCTTCAGTATTCCAGGCAGAGGTGCATGCTATTGAGGCATGCCTGAGAGAGAATATAGTAAGAGGATACAGAGGTAAACAAATCCTCATATGCTCAGATAGTCAGGCGGCCATTCAATCTCTAACATGCAATAAAATCAGATCAAAATTGGTCTGGGATTGCCTTCAAAGCCTGCTAACCCTGGCTAACCACAACAAGGTAACTCTTCAATGGGTGCCAGGGCATAAGGGAATTGAAGGCAATGAAGCAGCTGACGCTCTTGCCCGGCAGGGGTCTGCGACGTTGTTTATGGGGCCGGAACCTGTGTTCGGTATCCCCAAAACCTCAATACGCGGCTGGCTGGCAAGGTGGACGCAAGAAAGACATCAGGCATACTGGAACAATGTCCCAGGACAAAGACACAGTAAACTGATGGTTGGAACACTGTCCAAAACAGTGACTAACGACATTCTGAGCCTAAACAGAAGTCAGATCAAACAAGTGACGGGACTAATAACCGGTCACTGCCCCTTGAGGAAACATATGCATCAAATGGGCATCTATTCAGACGAACCCATATGCAGACTATGCAATGAGGAGGAGGAAACTGCCACCCATGTAATACTGGAGTGCGAAGCACTAGCGCGTTGGAGATACAACCTTCTGGGAGCAGTAAACTCTCAAGAGGCATTTTCAAAGAATGATCTGGTGAAGAGGCTGCTAAACCTCATCAAGGTAGCGAACCTGTTCACCTGAGTCAACAGCATGATCAGGAATACAATAGGCCCAAAGGCTGCAGTGTTTTGGGCTTCAAACCCTGACTGATCATTCTGCCATTAATCAATCAATCAATCAATCAATCAATATCCACTGTGTATATTTATGATTGAATGATATATCAATTTTAACTGAAAAATCAAGTTGGAAATAATAATCTAAGTGGTCCACGCGCAGGCAAGCCTTTGTGGATCTACTCTGTATTTATTTACATCTAGAGACTGTCAAATGCTATCATTCATGTTATATATAAAAAGTGTTAAGTAAGAGATAATATTTGAAAGTAATGTGAATGTATGATATCATATTATGTGGTAAATAAATATTATTATTATTATTATAACTACACTAGAACAACTAAAAATCTATTCACGAATGGTACTTGAATATTTGCAATAATGTTGAGTTTTTATGTATGAAGAGGATGGAGTTTCCAGAGTTAACTTGTGGCAGAACTGCAGAGTGGGTTAAAAAAAATTATACCTTGCTAATCCCTCAAATGCAAACTCTGCTCTTGCGCTACAGATAACACCAAATTTGACATTTGACAGTAAAACATCAAATAATATTAGTAATAACGATGTGCACGAATTAAGCAGATTACATCCAACTCAGTAAACAGCATCACAAAAAGTCATTGCAAATGTAAAAAATATAAGCAATCAAGATATAACAAATATTGCAAGTACGAGCAAGTGTTTAGATACTCAATATCAAATTATTGTATCTAATAACAGTATACCAATTATGATTATAATTCCAAGAAATTTAACTAATAGTTTATGTTATTACTGGTTCAATCAAATATGAATTTCGTTCGATGCCAATGTTTTCAGTTTTAAGTTCATTTCATCGAATTTCAAATTTTTCACTTTCCACTTTGTGAAATGTAATGACCACACATGATTGAATTCAACCAATAAGTTTGTCTTTCATTCCTCAGTTCAACATTCTTCACCACTCATCCTGCGGACTCCTGATGTTTTCTCGATCAATTAAGTTTTTGATCACAAATGAATCGACAGACTTTAGGTGAAAATTCAATTACTTGTGCTATTGCTGTTGAGAAGTTGGCAGCGTTGACTTGAAAGACTATTATCATGCAATAAATATCAAATTTGTTAATTTTGAACCAAAATGAGTAAAACCGAAGAATATTTTCCACAAAATATATTTTTCTAATTTGAGTTCTGAGAAAACCATTTGTTATAGGTAGTAGAATGAATTGTTCTGAAATATTTAATCAATTCGCAAATTACTGAGACCACTAGAGGATAACTCGAGTGATTCGATTTTGTCAAAGAGACCTAGTTGAAGTAGTAGTGTATGAAAGTATATAGAAGAGAAGACAATCACAAGAATCAATTAAAGTATTCAATAATTAGTGTAACATTTCTGCTTATCTCTCCTAACATTGAGACTGATCTGACACTTGATTAGTGAAGAAAAATCCAAGTCTTGTCATGTTGACGTAGTAATATCGTTTGTTCTTCATCACGTTCAACTGAGGTCATACTGCCATCTTCAAGTTCTCGGAAGGTGTTTTGACGCATGTGAAGAACTGTCGCTGAAATATTAATGATATTGAAATAAGGTTTCAACTCACTTGTAAAACTCATTATGTGTTTTTTCTGTATGTGCCATAGATTGTGCGAATTGTTCCGACTCTTCTTTATTGAGATTCAGAATTTGCATCACTGCAGCGATTTGCTTCCGTGATTTATTCGCAGTTATTTCATTGGGATACTCCAAATCAGCTTTCTTCGTAAATCTGCGTATTGCTACGTCACCTCTCGTCCAACGGATGGTATCAGGGTAAGCAAACAGGTAGGGATTATTGTCTGGAATTAGATTAGTTTTGCGTTTGTATTCTATTATGTCAACAAATTGCTGAAGATTAGGTGGAAACAAGATAATAACGGCTTTACTCCCTTTGCCACCTGTTACAACTCGCTTATAATGCTTAGTTAACAGTTTTTCAGAATGTGATAATACACCTTGGCATTCTTCTTGATTTGTTGAAGCGAAATCACGTTGATATGTCTCTAACTTTGTGTATTGGACATCACCAATTCTCTTTCTGTTATATAAGATAGTTAATGTGAGGGCTGCATCTATCAAATTCTCATACGCTTTCTTATCATCTCCAGTACTCTCTAACAGACTTGTTAGCCGCTTCAGTGGCATAGAATCTGAATTTCATTATATCTCTCGTTGAAGGCAAAATAACTGGTTTGTTCCATTTCTTCTCATTTATATCTTTGAAATCCATACTTCTTATTTCTGTAGCCTATTGGGATACTACCAGTTCCCTGAATCGCTGGATAGTTTTTATTTTAGTGTCTTGGTCATCGTATTTGAAATTTTCGTCTCGTTTCAACACCAGACGTATAAGTAATTCGCTTGCTTTTTACAGAGAAGTACATATGAGCGGACAAACTGGGAGCTTTATAAGATTTTGAGATGGCATCATAATCTCCAATCTTCTTGCACATTCACCTACAGTATCAAACATCACTGGATCTATTGCATCAGCTAAGCTGTGATTCTCGATAACCGTTGCTTCTCTCAAAGCTATGAGAAGTCTGGCTAACTCTCTCATTTCATTGAAACAAACAATGGCCATCTGCTTCCTCTTGTGTTTTTTCAGATAATTCTCACCAAATAGGCATATAAATTCATCTGTTTTAGCAACCATCGATATGTTGTCGGATTTCATAATATTGAACACTTTTTCCTTAACTCTCAGTTTATCCATCCCAGGTAGCAGAGTGACGTCCAATTGACGTCATTTTTTGGTCATAAAATGACGAAGTGGACGTCCAAGAATGACGTCTGAGAGACCCTGACGTCAAAATGTCACAGCCATATGACGTCATACTTAGACGTCATAATGACGTCGCAGAATGACCAATAAAGGACGAAATAAAAAAAATTAGGAGGTTTATATATTATACGGTATTATTGGTACATGATAATACACCACAAACCTTTGATGACATTCATTTTGTAACTATACGTTGTGGTAACTTGGTTGATGGTCCTCCCGGGCAGTCCTGTTGAATCCTAGCGCTATCGCTACTACCTATGAATCTCTATATGAGAATATCGTTAGCTACTCGAATTTGTACCTAAAATTATGTAGCGAGCGTCGGCGAGATGTAAGCTGAATAAACTTATTTTTAGCTAAACTATCCATTTCTGAAAAATCCTCTGCAACAGGTCGATTTTATTTCCGATTTGCCACATTTGAAAGTAAGAATCATATATATACAGGGTGTGATCCACTTTAAGTTAAGACGTCCGCGGCAATTTTTTCAATTGGAAACAATAATAATAACCTATATAAGATACATTCAATTTTTGAAATATTCATGGAAATCTGAATTTAAAAATATAATACACATAGGGTTTGTATACAGTGTGTCCGTTAGATTGAGTCATCTCGCGTGAAGAAAATAAAGTAGCCAATCAATGTACTTATAACCATACAAGTCCTTGCTGAGGAATCTCCCAAAATAGGTCGATTTTCATTTCAAATCACCAACAATATTGAGAAAAAATTGAATATACAGGGTGATTCAAGTTTGAGTTACAACGTCCGCGACCATTTTTTCAAAGGAACACCCTATAAATTATTCGATTTTTGGAGTCTCTATTTAAAGCTGGATTTTAAAATATATGAGTCTGTATACAGTGCGTTCGTTGAATTAAGTTCTTTCGCGAAGTTGCGAATAAATTTGTTGAAAATTAAAAAAACTTTTTTTTTTTTTTTTAGAGAATAATGCTCGAAGCCGTAGAATTTTATTTTCATTCAAGCTTTATCTCATATTAAATCAATATATACAGAAGGATTCGTGTAGGAGAAATTACGTCATCTATATATTTTAATGGCGATCCAATTTTACGAGAGAACTGAATTTAACGAACGCCCTGTATACAAACCCTTTGTGCGATATACATTTGATTACGAAAATTCAATAATATATATCCGTTTGAAAAATGTGTCGTGTATCATCCTGTATATTTGATGATTCCTCCGTATAAATGACGAATTAGTAATAAAAGCCTCTCCTGTTTTCTCAGAAATATATAAGATTGATAGATATTGGATAATAATGAATTTATCCACTACTTCACGAGAGCATCTAATTTATTGGACGCACTTACCTATACAATCCACATGATTGTGTTAAACATTTTCGAATTCCGCTTCCCATGGTTATTCCAAAGATTGAGTAATATATATTGCTCTATTCAAAAAAATTGTCGTTATGGTCATAACTCAAACGTGGATCATCATGTATGTATATTCAATTTTTCTCATAAATATATGGCAAATTGAAAATGAAAATCGACCGTTTTCAGCAGATTTCTCAAAAATGCATAATTTGGCTGAAAATAAATTTGTTCATCAGTACTCACGAAAACACTATATATACAAACACAAACTTAGTACGTACAATTAACAAACGATGAAAAAGTAAGAAAGCGACTGATTTTTCTTATTTGGTCGAATATACGACTTTGTAGGGACGTCATTAAGACGTCCAATATTGAACGTCAATAAGACGTCATGAAATATGACGTCATTTTTAGGTCCCTCTGAAGTCGAGGACGTCATTGACCAATAATGACCTAAAAAAGACGTCATTATGACGTCATTCCACTAACCTGTGCTACCTGGGATTGTAGAGTTCATATCCAACGAGCATGCTATCAATGTCTGTGAAGCAGATAAGTGATGTTGTTTTCCAGAACTTTCACTAGATTTTTTCACGTGGCATTTCTTTCCATGGCGGCCAAGATATGTTTTCGTGAATATTCCCTTACAGTGTGGACATGGATAATATGTCTTATCATATTTACTTGTCAGAGAATATTCAGGTATGATATTGCCCAATAGATATTCATCAAAGTGTCCGGAATTTCTGATTAAACCTATGATTTTTTTTCTTTCATTACTTTTCTTCGGAAATGTTAGTAAATCCAGCACTTGTTCTTGATCTTTGTGGTTTCTTTCTAAATGCAGTTCGAAATTTGTTACATCCAGTTGGCAGAACTTGCAGAATGTCATTTCTTACTTCCAAGACCTTTTAGATTACAATTTTTGAATGTTTGGAAAATTAAAGGCCAGGTGATGAACAGAGAATGAATCAAATTCCTCAATGATTATTACTCTCCCAATTGCTCAATATAGGAACAGTGTAATGAAGTGTTTTTTTTTTCAGGACTTCATTACTAAGAAACGGTTTCTATCTTTTCTGTCGTATCGTATATATTTCCATTCCGAGCTAATATTCCAGTAAAATCAGTTATCACCTACAGGGGTCTCATGAAAAACCTATTCTGAAAGATATCAGTCTCGTATACCAACTACTAGGGATGTCTTTCGTGTCATTATAGCCCTGTCCTAGCTCCAGAAATTGACTATTTGATCTACAAGTACGGGAAGTTCTTTGGTAGTCTCTATTATGTTGGGAAAGCAATCCTGATGAATAGAGTAAAATGTAATCCTGTCTTGGAGATGCGAGAGGACTTCCTGCAACTTTTGAAAGCCCCTGAATGTAAGATTTCCAGATAAATAATTACCTAGCAATAACTTGATGATCTCTGCTGGTTGGATATAAATATCGATTCAGTAGCTTCAGCAAAGAAGGTTGATCAGGTGCCTGGGCCCTTTTGGCCAAGAAAATATTATTTCCGCGTTTTTCTTTTTCCAAGGACAACTTCGGCTCTCACGGTTGTTACCGACATTTTCACGAGGTCAGTCGAAACTGGCCAATCAGGAGCAAGGATGGCTGTTGGCCTTGCTCAATTTGCGTCAAGGTCTAGGCAGGACATAAATACTCGGTCCATCGGCGCGAGCAGTCAGTTAGTTCAGCAGTCAATCCGACAGTCAATTATTTCTTGAGTTCGGTTCTCCGGTATCACTTTACAGTCGGTTTACCAGTGTTCCTGTGCTTGCGCTATTTTTGAGTTGATTATTCCAGTTATTTTTCCGGTTAGTTATTCCAGATTGCTCTGCTTTCCAGTCCAGATGCCAGTCACTTCTCACATTCCAGTCAATTCAATTCCAGCATATAGTTTTCCTGTTTATGCCTTTTACTACAATTTAGAAATCATAACCTAGCTCCTTTATTATTTTTCGAAAAATTCATCGAGTGTTTCGATTTGGGTCTCCCGTGCCGATATCCGAGACTTCGCGGTCGCGCCAGTAGCATTGTCGAGTGTTTTGCAGCCCGCAGTACTCCTGTTTCATCTAAGTAAGCTATCTCAAATTGGTTTGCGTACGCTTATTGCTTATAGTTTATCAGTGACCACCCTGTCCTAAGTGAGTTTTGTATCTAGTAAACTATCGCCTGAGTAGATTAGAACCTTGTCTGGTGAAGAATACTCCACGTTCAGAAGTTCACAGTTCAGAAGTGACGTAGATACTGTTCTGAAAATAGTAGTGTCTCCTAAGTTTCGCTCTGCGGCTCAACCTTTGGGTGGATCTCGCAACGAGCTTAGGGACACCCTACTCCGATTGTTTAGAGATTGGGAGCCCGCCTGATGTGTGGATCCAGGGCCCGTCTCCTTTGTTTGAGAAAAGTAGGATCCGCAAGTCAACCTGCAGACGGCTTCCGAATACTGCTATGAGCCAGAGTTAGAGCTACACTTTGAAGGAGTACTTATCAACAGTCTGATCCGCGTTAATGATTTAACTAAACGATTTCATTCCTGTGGTCATTCCTGACGATACCGAACTCACTTCCCTGAATAAACCCTAGCTTGCAACTTTCCCGGTCGTATTCGGTGGTTCATTGTCCCTGCTTTGCTTGCGCCTGCACTTACACCTAACGTACTAGACACGTTTGGCTATTGTACTCGCATATGCTCAGTAGAACACTCTGTGCCTCGTGACTGACATACGTCAGCCGTCATGCCGGTCGAGTGCATTCATTCTGTATGTCGAATGTCATAATTTTCAGTGTGAAGGTCAATTTAATAACATCATAACATTAACCTGATTGTATGATAGATTATGCTTTATTTAATTATTGCCTGTAACCTTCGATGAACGAAAGAAGCTGAATAAATCTATACTCGACCTGTTTATGTGATTCTGATTCCCCTATCCTGACAACAAAGGTATAAAACTAATTCAAATTCCAGAAAACTACCTGTAAGAGTTGTGGTACTCAAATCACAAGAAATGACGACTCAAAACATCTATTCAGAGCAACCAGTATTTCAGGATTCCCCAAGAGTGTGTAATTAAAGCCTATGATCTCTTGGTCCCCTGCTCTTAGGTCGATTTAATAGCTTCGACCCCTGGTTCACTGTAGACATCCAGTGGATGTCTTTCTTCACTGTTGCTACTTTGAGCCTCTGTACAAAACTACCTCAAAAACAATCTGGCGCTCGAGAAACCCCGACAGGTCCTAGAAGCTTGTTCGACAAGCGTCAAAGTAAGGGCCCCAGAATAAAGACCCTCACAACAGTCGATGAATATCCGAATGTGGTTGATGATGAACTGAGAATGTACATTCGAATGATACAACGCATTGAAATGGTCAACATAACATCTGAGAAGGCCGATGAACAGTATTCACTCATCAGTGACGTGAAATCTGCGATAACGATGGTCAACGAAAGTTTCAGAACTCGTTTCTAATGCTGTTGTAACCTTACTTGTCCTAAAAAAAGGCTTCC